TCCCTATGGGGCCACGAAACGTGTGAGGGTTGTGCCGAATTGGGTGTGCGTGACGCATGCGGGCGGCAGCACTGGGGCCTTTGGCGGAGCTCCCTATGGGGCCACGAAACGTGTGAGGAGTGTGCCGAATTGGGTATGCGTGACGCATGCGGGCGGCAGCACTGGGGCCTTCGGTGGAGCTCCCTATGGGTCCACGAAGCGTGTGAGGGTTGTGCCGAATGGGTGTGCGTGACGCATGCGGGCGGCAGCACTGGGCCCTTCGGTGGAGCTCCCTGTGGGGCCACGAAAAGTATGAGGGGTGTGCCGACATGGGTGTCGATGATGATGGCGATAACGGCGATGATGATGGCGATGGCGATGGCGATGGCGATGGCGATGATGATGATGATGATGATGATGATGATGATGATGACGATGACGATGACGATGACGATGATGATGATGATGATGATGATGATGAGATGACGATGACGGATGATGATGATGATGATGATGATGATGATGACTGGATGATGATGATGATGATGATTGGTTGATGATTCTGATGATGATGATGATGATGATGATGATGATGATGATGCTGATGATGATGATGATGATGATGATGATGATGATGATGTGATGATGGCTGTGGATGATGAAGATGCGCTGCTGCTGATGATGATGAGATGATGATGATGATGATGATGATGATGATGATGATGATGATGATGATGATGATGATGATGATGATGATGATTGATGATGATGATGATGATGATGATGATGATGATGATGATGATGATGATGATGATGATGATGATGATGATGATGATGATGATGATGATGATGATGATGATGATGATGATGATGATGATGATGATGATGATGATGATGATGATGATGATGATGATGATGATGATGATGATGATGATGATGATGATGATGATGATGATGATGATGATGATGATGATGATGATGATGATGATGATGATGATGATGATGATGATGATGATGATGATGATGATGATGATGATGATGATGGTGGTGGTGGTTGTGGTCGTGATGATGATGATGATGATGATGATGATGATGATGATGATGATGACGATGACGAGGCAGGAATGAGGAGGGGGAGGGGGAGAGGAGAGGAGAGGAGAGGAGAGGAGAGGAGAGGAGAACGCGGGGCGACGTGTCTTCAAAACGAGGACCCAACACCACAGGATGGTTGGGAGTAAGGCCGAACACGGATCCAGCAAATCCAAATTCGGATCGAATCCGCCGTACAAATACGGCCGAACACGGATCCAGCAAATCCGAAATCGGATCCGCGCGGACGGAATTCGCATCCACCGAAGCAGACGCCAAAACCACAATTGGATCCGCACGCAAGGCCAAAACGCATTGGGCGTTTTGGTCTTCGGATTTGTCGCTTACCACATAGCCGACACACCACATCTCACAGGCAGTCTATTGGGTCAGGAGACGCAGGGCCGAGACGCACTGGCGTTTTGGCCTTCGGACTTGTTGGTTACCACATAGGTGACACACCACATCTCACAGGCCGTCTGTTGGGTCAGGATCCGACGGCGGTTATTTCATGCGCGTCTGCTCAAGACTTCAAGCCGTCGTTCTGGGCCCAAGAGGAAAACATGTTCGTCCTGGCAATGGGCGTTTCGGTCTTCGGACTTGTCGGTTACCACATAGCCGACACACCACACCTCACATGCAGTGTGTTGGGTCAGGAGACGCAGGGCCGAGACGCACTGCGCACTGGGCGTTTCGGTCTTCGGACTTGTCGGTTACCAAATAGCCGACACCACATCTCACAGGCAGTCTGTTAGGTCAGGAGACGCAGGGCCGAAACAAATGGCGATGATGACTTGGACAATGACCGAACCCCCTTCCCCCGTAGAATCTTAACACGGGCGGGTTCCGGGGTCCGCGGATCCGATTTCTTTTGGTTCCCCGTTTCAGTCTGATAGTATAGATGTTTTACGGGGTCAGCAACGGACCCGCCGTAAAACATAAGGCCGAACACGGATCCAGCAATAAGGCCGAACACGGATCCAGCAAATCCGAAATCGGATCCGCGCGGGCGGAATTCGCATCCACCGAAGCAGACGCCAAAACCACAATTGGATCCGCACGAATTTCACGGGATCCGACGGCGGTTATTTGATGCGCGTTTGCTCAAGACTTCAAGCCGTCGTTCCGGGCCCGAGAGGAGAAACAATTCGTCCTGAGGATGTATTCCAGAATCGTGAATGGGCTGCCACACCGTTGTGTTCCAAGCGGGTGCAGTGCCCGAGCAACGCCTGAACTACATTTGAAATGAACTTGAAGTACATTCAGTTTAATTGCGTTTGGGATTCGCATGACAAGCCGTGCTGAGGCGTGCCACGTTAATGTCAGGATTGAATGAATGGGCAACGTCTGAGCTATATCTCAACTTCACTTGACTGTGCACTGAACTCCAATTTCGCCTTTCTCCGCGTGAGCCAAACTTGTCCTTGCAGACTCCCTGGATTGCACGCTTGCCTGGCTTTTCAGACGCCCTGGGCGCTGCCCCCCCCGCCGCCTGATCCGCGGCCCCCGCGCGCGCTCGGGAATTTAGTCGCGGCCGCAGCCCGACCGTGACCGCCCGCCGTCGGCGCTTTCGCCTGCGGCTGTATAAAAAAAGTGAGCCAAACTTGAACGACATTTGAGCCAGACATGAACTACGCATGGAACGCAACACCGCTGCGTGCTATGCCGGTACCAGGCCTGAACTTCGCCAGATTTGTGGATGCCGTTATGAACCTCAAGGGGCAGGTGTGCGTAAATCGCGCAATGCGTTCTCAATGATTTTGACGGTCCCACGGCCCCACGGGACCATCTTAGGGCATGATTAAAGCGTGGTTGCCGAACCTTTACCCCGGGAAGAAGCCGCGACGCAAGCCCAATAAACGCCCTTCAAGCGCCCAAGGACGCCCAGAACTCCCGGAAACTTTGAGGCATGGGCCCGTTAGTTCAGAGAGTTCCAATGAACAGGTTTCTGTTTTGACATTTGCTTGAGTTATATTTTCATACGTCCAACCACGGCTAACTTTGCTGTTCCTACATCTGGGCGCGCCACAACATTACATGGGTGGGATGTGGTTTCTTTTCCAACGCGCCCTCTGCTAGCATGGAACGCCCATTGGTTGCTCGTCTTTCAGGGAACGCTCCCCGCATTGAGAAGAGACACCTGTAGGGACTTCGAACAAGGGGAATTTGGACGGGAGAGTGCATTGCAGCATCGTCGATTTTCCTTGAGTTTGTTCTGGTGTTCCTTGTCCTCCCTCCCCTCCTCCTCCCCCATCCTTTTCCCAATCCACCTCGTCCGCGCGGAGGAGGCTGATGGATGAGGAGAAGGCGGCGGCGGAGGAGGAGGATGAGGAGGATGAGGGCGGTGTTTTCTCATGATCCCGTCCGGGATCATCGGAGGAATCCCCCGAGCCGAGGACGAGGAGGCGGATGAGGAGACGGAAACGGAGGCGGAGGACGCCGCGATTCCCTCCTCCACCTCTTCATTCATCCCTTCCCCCTTCTCTCCCCCCCCTCCTCGCCGCGGAAATGGCGGACGACAACAAAGCCCAGTGTGTTCAGGCCAACACGGACCCCCCCGCGCGGCGATCCCTTGACGGCGGAGACGAGAATGCAGGAGGAAGGACGAGGAAGGAGGGAGGGAGGGAGGGAGGGAGGGAGGGAGGAGGGAGGGAGGAGGGAGGGAGGGAGGGAAGGAGGGAGGGAGGAGGAGGAAGAGGAGATGGAGGAGGAGGAGGAGGAAGAGCAGGAGGAAGAGGAGGAGGAGGAAGAATAATGACAAGACGGATAATAATACGGCGAATCAAACTACGAATATTTATCATGATGCTATTGCTAAGCATAAACATAATAGTAACACCTAGAAAAACAATACTAATAAGAACATTGGGAATGCTATTTCGAACACTAATACTACGCATCATACTAACAACAACGGTCATACTACTATCATTAATAAAGAGACTAACAGTAATATTCTTCCTAAACCCACGAATCAGCACGGCAATACTAATATTACTGCTACCAAGAATTCTTCGACTACTAATTATTAACCACGACTACCAATACTAATAATAATAAAGATACGAATGAGACTCGTAAGACGAAACATAACAATAAGTAAATGAATAATAAGTAAATAACAATACGAATGATAATACTAATAACGATGATCATGATAATAATCCGTAAGGGCTTCGCCCCCTGCCGCCGGCCCCTTATCTCGGAGAATGCGCTATGCGAGAGCTATGGCATGAGGCCTGGGCGCCGTCGTGAAGCAGTATCGGAACTTCATGGGAGGCCAATTCGCAATCGGCAAAACCAATAGACTTGTCTTGTGAGCCTGACCCCGCCGATCTGCGTGAGGGGTGCCACCGAATTTCAGAAATGTGGCAAATCCCTGGTGTTTTTGGACCCTGACCCGCCGTCTGTATGAGGGGTGCCAGCGAATTTCAGAAATGTGGCAAATCCTTTCTGTTTTTGCACCCTGACTCCGCCGATCTGCGTGAAGGGTGCCAGCAAATTTCAGAACTGTTGCAATTCCCATGTGTTTTTGGACCCTGACCCCGCCGATCTGTGTGATGGGGTGCCACCGAATTTCAGAAATTTGGCAAATCCGTTGTGTTTTTTGGACCCTGACCCCGCCGATCTGCGTGAGGGGTGCCAGCGAATTTCAGAAATGTGGCAAATCCTTTCTGGTTTTGCACCCTGACTCCGCCGATCTGCGTGAAGGGTGCCATCGAATGCCAGAAATGTAGCAAATCCCTTGTGTTTTTGGACCCTGACCCCGCCGATCTGCGTGAGGGGTGCCAGCGAATTTCAGAACTGTTGCAATTCCCATGTGTTTTTGGACCCTGACCCCGCCGATCTGTGTGAGGGGTGCCATCGAATTTCAGAAATGTGGCAAATCACATGTGTTTTTGGACCCTGACCCCGCCGATCTGAGTGAGGGGTGTGAATTTCTACCCACCCCAGCAATTCAGAGCACACGCTCAGGGCGTGCTAAACCTGCCCGTTTTGGGCCTCCCCCCCTCGCGCGGTCCATCAACAAGGAACAGTAAGCAGCAAGAAACAGAATTGTAACAGTGGAAGCTGGAAGCTGCAACTGGTACAGGAACCTTCGAACCTTAGGCCTACAGCCTGGTGGCCCCACAAGGGGGCCGGCGGATAATAATAAGAATAATAATAATAGGTAATAATGATAGTCACGTTAATAAGAATAATGCTAACAATAATAATAGGAATAATAATCAGAACAAGAGGAGGAGTAGGGACGTTCCGAGACGATTCGGACTGCCACGTGGTGGCTGCCACCGTGCGCGCGCCCCTGGCGCGCGCGGCGAGTGCGGGCGCGCGTCCCGCGCCGCGCGGGTCCCCGCTTGTCTCGTCAGGCGGGTGCCCCGCGAGCGTAAGCATGCGCCCCTCCTCGTTGGCGCCCTCGGCGCCGCCTCTCTCTCCTGACGCTGCTGGCCGTGCCGCCGAGCCAGGGGTTGCGGCGGCCAGAAGGTAGGCGACCTTGTCCTCCACGGAGCGCTTCTACTGTGGCTGGCGCGCTGTTGGCCGGCTCCGCCGTGGCGCCTCTTCGAGCGCCTCCTGTGCCCCGCGCTCTGGGGCCTCCAGCCGCCCCGAGGGTCGCGAGTGTTCCAACCAGTTTCACCCTCAATCGGGGCCTGCCCTGGGGTCCGCCTTGGCCGTGGCCCCGAAGGCCGCGGGTGTCCTTGGCGGAGGGCGGCTGGGTCCCCGTGCTGTCGCCCTGGACGTCTCGCCTTTGGCCACTGCAGCCGCTGCTCCTGGCGCAGGCTGCGCCGTCGAGCTCCTTCTCCTCCTCCTCCTCCTCCTCCTCCTCCTCCTCCTCCTCCTCCGCGGTCTAGCGCTTTTCGGGTTCTGCTCCCGAGAGGAGGCTGAATCCCTCGGGACTCTTGTGCGGAAGCGCTGACCGCAGCGCGTGCCGCCCCCCGAGGAGGACTTGGACCCCTGATTTGCTTGCTTGTTTTCCTTCTCCGCGTTTGCATGTTTTCACGTGGTGGTACCTTCTCACAGCCGTTGCCGTGCTCCTCCTCTCGTCCCTCGGGCGTGCAGGCGCCTGCCTGCCTCGCAGGCTCTTGCCGGCCTCCTGTCGGCGGTCTGTCTCCTCCTCTGTGCTCCTCCTCCGCGAGCTTTCCCCAGCCCGGCAGCCTGCAGCGCCCGCTCTCGCAGTGGGGCTGGCCAGAGTGCGGCTCCGTCGGCTCGGTCGCCACGAGCTCTGTCGTGGAAGCCCTGCACCTCTCGCAGAACCACCTGCCCTGCGCCTGCGGCTTCCGCAGCCGGTGTGACGGGTGCGGCTCCGCGCCGTGCTCCGTTTCCGTCTCCGCCGTCCTTGGTGGTGGCTGCCGCACTCCTGCGCGGGCCAAGCCCTGATCAGGACCGCTGGCGTCGTGCTGCCTGCCGCCTCCCAGCAGCGTGGGCAGACCCAGCCTGTGCCGCGCCGATCGCGCTGCACCATGTGCGGGGTGAGCGGTCTCCTGGCCGCGTCGGCCCCCGGCAGGTCCTTCTTACTGCGCGCCTCTGTTCTCCTCTGCCTCACCTGCTGCCTCCTCGCCTCTTTCAGCTCCTTCTCGTCGGGTAGCCTCCTGATCAGCACGTCCTTCGCGTCGTCGCCGCGATGGGCGCCCTGACGAGTAGGAGGAGGAAGAGGATGAGGATGAGGATTAGGATTAGGATTAGGAGGAGGAGGAGGAGGAGAAGGAGGAGGAGAAGGAGGAGGAGGAGGAGGAGGAGGAGGAGGAGGAGGGAGGATGAGGGGCAGCAGGAGGAGTGGGAGGATGGTGGGGGGATTGGGGCAGGAGGAGGACTTCGGGGAGGGGAGAGGGGGGGAAACGGGCGAGAAGGGAGGACATGGGGAGGAACGAAGGGGGGGAATGATTAGAGGACGGGGGGAGGGGAAGAGGGGGATGAAGATGGAATGTAGTAGGCAGCATTGACGGAGGTAGGGGTGTATGAGGAGAAGCAGTATTGAACGACTGAGGAGGGTGAGTGGGAGGAGGATGAGGACATGGAGGCAGTGAGTACGGTGAGGATGATGCTGATTGCGCTGGTAGACGACGGTAACGTTTACCATGTCGGTTGTGGTGAGGATGGTGGTGGTGATGATGCTGTTGTGTTGTTGCTGCTGCTGCTGCTGCTGCTGATGATGATGATGATGATGATGATGATGATGATGAAATTTATGATGATGCTGCTGCTGATGATGATAATCGTGTTGCTGATGGTGGTGATGCTGATGATGTTGATGATTATCATAAGGGTAAAGTCGACGACGAGGATGGTGTTCATGACGACGATGATGGTCGTATCACTACTTCGACCAGAAGCCGATGGCCAGAGCTAAGTATTCCACTGCCTGCACGGGTATCCGGTTGTGCTGCCGCGCAGATCCTTCATCGCACCCGGGAGAGCCGCCCCGTGGGGACGGGTGGGTAGGCAGGCATCCGGGAGGACGTGGGGGGGGAGGGGGGGGGCTCAGACGGGGGGGAGCTGGTGCCACGGAGTGTCTCTCGAGAGTTTCTAGGACGGCGAGCAAAACGCGGAGGGACCTGTCCAGCAAGCATGAAGCACAGGGCTCGATTCGTCGGTGGCTCGTCGCTCGATTCGCAGCGGAATCAGCCAGCTGGCAAATGCTCGAAATACCAATGATCGTTGTACTCCCCGCCCCTCGTCTCCCCGCCCCCCGTGGGCGTCCCCTCAGATCCGACGCCGCGAACAAGAATGGAACATCGTGACAAATCACAACCAGAGCCCTGGACCTTGTCTTTCTTTTGCAGTTTTCAGAGGAGGAAAAAGGTACCCATACCTCGACCCTCCCCTTGTTTTCCCCTTTTTGGGCCTCCTGGGCAGCCGTCGTCGCAACCGCTGGACTCGCCTCGAAATTCTGGGAGTGGCGGTATTAAATCTCAGACTGGGTCTTGTCATTTTCTTGACGTTCACTTCGGGCCAACCCGAGTCCCCCGAACCCGAGTCTCACGCCTCCCCGACCTATGAGGGTCCCATGGGTCGAAGCTGGGCGAAAACACCCGGTGTGATAAAGATCATCGCCCCGATCTCAGGTTTTGTGAACCCATTGCTCGGGCGACGAAATCTATACATATCCACTGCTCCCTGGCCAGGATCATCCTGAGCCTAGGAGCTGTGTAGGCGCCCTCCTGGCCAACCCAGGAGGGCGTGGCGTATACACAACGCCGGTGGGTGCAGGATGGGCCTGGCCAGGGAGCAGTGGATCTGTGTAGACTTCGTCGCCCGCTGGTGGAGGAGGAGGAGGAGGAGGAGGAGGAGGAGGAGGAGGAGGAGGAGGACGGAGGACGGAGGACGGAGGAGGAGGAGGAGGAGGAGGGAGGAGGAGGAGGAGGAGGAGGAGGAGGAGGAGGAGGAGGAGGAGGAGGAGGACGGAGGACGGAGGACGGAGGACGGAGGACGGAGGCGGGGGTGCCTCGCGAGCCAGGGCGGCTTGCTGCCGCGCCGTCTTGCCCTCCCCCCTCCCCCTCGGGCCTCCGGCAGCCAGCTCTCGGCGCCGACCCCGGCGTGGTGCCCGCCAGGGGCTCTCCCCCCCGGGGGACTTCGTGCCCGCCCCCGGGGTCTTCGTGCCTGCCTCCGTGGGGTGGGCCGGCGGGGGCAGCCTGCCCGGCCTTCTGCTCGACCTCAGCCGGCCAGTCGCGCCGCGCCCAGGCCCCTCTCTCGTTTCTGGACGCCCGAAATGGGTACGGAAAGAATGGGTGCAGTGCCCAACAGCAGTCCTTGTTCATTTTGAACAGGACTCGCTGTCCGCGCCGCCGCGGCCTGTGTCCATTCGAGACAGAAGGATGCCTGCCCAACGGCGGCCGCTGTTGGTTTGGGACAAAATTTGTTGTTGGGCATTGTACCAATTCTTTCCGTACACATTTCGGTCGTCCAAATCGTTGCTTCTCTCTCTCTCTGTCTATCTCTCATGGCGCCAACGTCGCAGAGCGGGCTTCGTTCGGAAAGCAGTCGGATGGGCCCGGAGTTCGTGAAGAATTCCGTTCAGGATTTCGAGGTGAATTTCGTGCGGAATTGTTTGGCCAGGAATGAAGACTAACACATATCCACGCGAAATTCACTTCGTTTTTCGCCCGCCGTTTCGAGGTTTTGCATTGACAGAAATCTACTCAAACATCTGCTGCAGCACGTCTGTAAGGTCGATACAGTGATATGTCCCTCTCATCTGTCTCGTTTCCTCTCTCTCTCTCTCTTTTCTTTCTTTCTTTCTTTCTCTTTCTCTCTCTCACTCTCTCTTTCTCTTCCCTCTCTCTACGATCGTGTTTTTCAATCCTCGGGCATATCGCGCGTTCTGCCCCCCCCCCCCCCCCACGCGCGTGCTGGCTCCTCCCCCTCCCCCTCCCTCTCCCCATAGCCCCCTTTCGTGCGCCTCCGGCACTGCCATTCTGATGCTTGCAGGGTAACAGTCGCAGCAATGGCAGTGATATCAGGAAGAGGACCAGGAGGAGGAGGAGGAGGAGGAGGAGGAGGAGGAGAAGTTTGGGGGGAGCGGGGTGTCCTTGTAATCGTCGTCGTGGTTGTCTTGTGGTCGTGGTGATCGTTGTTGTGCTTGTCGTAATTGTTGTTGTTGTCGACATCGTCGAAATCGTAATGGTCGCCGTGTTCAGTTTGGTCGTAGCGATAGTCATCGTCGGCGTGTGGTCGTCATAGTGACCGTCGTCGTGCCAGTCGTAGTCTTCGTAGTATTCGTAATCGTCGCAATCGTCGTCATAGTCGTCGTGATCGTCGTCGTGGTCGTCATCGTAGTCGTCGTCGGGTGATGGTCGGGATCAGAGTTGTAGTAGTCGTCCTGGTTGGCGTTGGCTTCCTGAGCGTGGTCGTCGTTGTCGTCGCGATCGTCGTCATGATCGTTGTAGTAGCTGTCGTCATCGTCGGCGTCGTAGTTATATATAGATCATGGGTGGCTGTATTCTTAAAGCATTATGCACGCTAGTACGCAAAGTACTTGAGGCAGAAGACTTAACTACTGAAGGTTGGACGAATAATTACATAAACATCACTTCTCGGAGCTCCTTGGGGATTTCTGGGATCGGCGCCTGGTTCCCTTGGCGGCGCGTCTGGCGCCGCCCCTGGCGCGCCCCGCGAGGCAGGGAGGGGGGTTCAGCGTAGATCCCGTATCGTGCCTGCTTGCAGACACCAGTGTTGCCCGCCCTTTCCTTCGGGCCAAGCGGTGTCCAGACTCTGCGCAGAACCCAGTTCTACGACAGAAGTGTAGTCAACGCAGGGGTTGTGGTGTTCGCAAGCGCTGTGGTGCACCCGCGTGTTGCGGCGTGCGCAGACGCTGCGGTGAACGCGGTTGCTGTGGTGCGCGCAGGCGCTGTGGTGCACGCAGTGCGGTACAGATTTGAGACAACTTTCGTGCTATGCTTCGGTTCTGGAGGCGGTAGAAGCAGAGTGCTGTAGAACCCTTGGCTGTGCATCGTAGAGGCAACACAGCGGAGCAAACACCAGCAGAAAGTAATGCTCGAAGGAGACTGGTGGAGGATGCAAACACTGTGGTGCTGCACGATGGTGCGCGTATGCGCTGCGCAGTACGTGGCTGCGGCGATGCATACTGTGCTGCGCACTGTGGAGCTTGATGTGATGCGTACAGGCGCTGTGGTGCCAGAGCCAGACGGCGGGGGGGGCGTTACATTATGCCCCCTCACTCACAAAGCGCGTTATGGCACCGACTATTCAAACTCGCTCTATCATTGTTTTTATTGCTTGTCTATCCCTCTCTCTCTGTCTCTCTCTCTCTCTGTCTCTCCTCCTCTCTGTCTCTCCTCGCGCCTGCGCC